ACATATGGAATTTCTTTCCCTATAATCAATGTCATCAAAAGATTCTATTTCAACTTTACATGCAGTGTTGATCACAGTGAGCTCAGTTTTGAAGTCAAAACAGGAGTACGTCAGGGGTCTGTCATGTCTGCAATCCTCTTCAACATTGCCATCGACTGGGTAATGCGGCGTACAACAGAAGACATGCCAAGAGGCATTAAATGGACACTCTTCTTATCCCTTGAAGACCCGGACTTCGCAGATGATGTCACTCTCCTATCACATACCCAACACCATATACAAGAAAAAACCAACTCAACTCAATGCATTCAGTCAGCAAATTGGACTGAAAATCAACCGCAATAAGACAGATACCATGACTTTTAATATTGCCTCACCATCACAGATACGGATATAGGATTATGTTCTCACCAAGGTAGAAACATTCACATACTTGGGCAGCACCATCAGCCAGGATGGTGGAACAAGCCAGGACATCCGGAACAAAATCAATAAAGCCAGGAACATCCTTCAGGAGCTTAAATACAGTCTGGAAATCATCAAAATACAACACCAAAACCAAACTCAAGATTTATCAGAGCTGCATACTTTCAACACTACTTTATAGTGTAGAATGCTAGCGAATGAGAAAGTATGACATGTCCAAACTGTCTTCATTCCATACAACCTGCCTCAGAAAAATCCTCCGTATCTTTTGGCCAGAACAATTTCAAACCACGATCTATTGACACAGTGCAGCCAAGAGGATCTGAGCACCATCATTGCCAGGAGGCGTGGGAGATGGATCGGTCATGTGCTTTGGATGGAAACTGATTTCATCACCAGAGTAGTAATAAGATGGACACCTGAAGGCAAGCGAAAACGAGGCCACCTGAAAACAACATGGTAAAGAGGTGTGGAAGCCGAGCTGAAAAACCTGGGACACAGCTGGGGAACCATTGAAAGACTTGCCAGAAACAGACAGGAGTGGAGGAGCTTCCTCACTGCCCTAAATGCCGGAGGTGTAATAGGAACATTGATGATGATGATGATGATGATGATGAAGTGGTTTATTAGTTATGGAGTCAAATGCTTCACTATATGTAAAAACTCCTAGGGTTAAGTATTCGCCCCACAACATATTTTTAGGAGATGAATGTTAACCGCATCACCCCAAACCCATCTGCATCTTGGTCAGCAATAACATCAGAATTTGAGGACAAAGCTTTTAGCACATGAGCCTGATCAAATGTTGACAAAAAACAATAAAGCGATGAGGCTAATTTCATTCCTTTTCCTTGTGAAAAGCTCTATGAAGCAAAAATTATCAATTTCCCAACAGTCTCTTCATACTACATCATTTTCAGCACAGCCAATTAAAAAAAGATCAATATTAAATATTAAGGTAATAGGACATGAGTTCAGGGAAAGAGAAATACATCATATAACATAGATAAAAAATACATAAAATAATGCCATGTCAGGCCTATAAAAGCAATGCCTCGGGCTTGATTTTCACTATAGTAGATGCCAAGCTGCAAGACCCCTGTGGTGAAAATGTCTGCTTGAAAGGAAGGCACAGTGGTTCAAGGAATCTAAAAAGCCCTCCCCCACTGGGCTACAGGGGAGGTCTTTGAGGAAATTGGTGTAGTGGATGGAGCCAGGATACCTGACAGATGTGCTTATTCATGGCCACTTCCAGACAGCCTCAGTCAGCAGGGATCCTATTTGCATTAAAGCAATGAGAATTTGTATTTAACAATTATTCCTTTATTCAAAAGTTTTATATTACAGCAACTAGCACCTACTGCCTGGTACCATCTGCAGTTTGATGATCTATCCTTGCAATCCCTGCCTTCCAAGATGGGGGATCACATTTGGTCTCTGCAGCCACACTCCCACACTGTTGCCAGTTCTCTTGACTTTATTGTGTGTCTCGTGATATTTGGTATTTTCTTTTAGACTTAGATCCTGGAATGCTATTATTACATAAGAATGCAGCTCTCATTTTATAATAAATGTAAGTTTCTAACCCTCATGGTTGCAGAGAAAAGCTTAAAAATGTGAATCCTAAAGGCATAAAACCCAGAAGGCAAGAAAAAAGAACCTCAAATTTGACATTTTAATTTTTTTTTTTTTTTTTTGCATCTGGCTCATGGTATTAGAATGTTTGGAGTTGGCAGTACTGAGTTACAGTGTAACTACATTAACTTCAATGTAACAACACATGTAAAACTGGTGGAAGTGAGATCAGAGTGCTATATACATGTATACTTGCTATACATCAAGTATAAGTTATAATTAGGTTCCAGGGGAGGTGGCAGGAGACAACTAAGGATGTGTGGTCAGAGGTTCCCCTCCCCCCCGTGTTTAAGCAGGTTCTCTCAGGGTAGCCCATTCCATGATGTGATCTACTTCTCTGGTGGAACATCCTTGTTTGGTGAAGGCAGTTTTAAGTGTGTAAAGGTGTGCTCCTGGACTTTCTCCTGGTATCATATTCTGTGGTATCTGAGGGCCTGGCTGTAGATAACAGATTTCTTGGTGCGACTGAGGTAGTTATTGGATCTGTGGAGGTAAGTGTGGTGATCTGTGGTATTCTTTTATACAGTTGTCTGAATAGGGTTCCATCATTGAAGCTGATTGTAGCATCCAGGAAACTGATGTTGCTGCAGGAATGTTCTAGAGAGAGTTTGATGAATGGGTGGTGGTATATCATTGGTTTTGTGGTGCATTTGTCCAGAAAGTCTTCCTCAAGGTGGCCCATGAAGAAGTTGGCATATTGGAAAGCATCCTTAAATCCATGGCTGTTCCCATAGTTTGGCCAAAGTGTTAGTTGTTGAACGTAAAATTATTATGCGTGAGGATAAAATGGATGAGTTTAATGATGTGTTGGGGGGAATATCTGAGTGTTGTCCATTGTCTCTGAGATATTTGAGGCAGGAATCAATGCCACCATTGTGAGGGATGTTGGTGTATATGGAGGTGGCATCCCTAGTGGCAAGGATGGCATTCTGAGGGAGGTTGATAATATTGCAGAGTTTCTGGAGGAAGTCGGTTGTGTCCTGAAGAAAGCTGGCTCCTTGTGTGTGTGAGTAGTTTGAGGACGGTGTCTATGAGTCCTGATATTCTTTCAGTAAGAGCCAGATATGATGGATCTACCTGTGTTCCCTTGTTTGTGTATCTTGGGAAGCATGTAGAAGATCCCTGGGATGGGTTTGTGGGGATGAGATTGTAGGATTTTTTCTTGGAGTAATGTTTGGGGGAGGATTTCATGATATCCTTAAAGTGCTGGGTGAATTGTAGTGTGGGATCTTGAGTCCTTTATAGTAGGTGTTGTTGGAGAATTTCTGGTTGGCCTCATTGAGGTAGCACCCCCTTTGTCTGCTGATTTGATCACTATCTGGTGATTGGATTTCAGGGACTGCATAGCTGTCCTCTGGTGCGGAGGCTAAAGGTTTGTTTGTTAAAGGCTTCACAAGTCTTTTTTTTTTTTGGTCCTATGATGGTCCCTTAAAATGTGTTAACTACTTGTAAAAAGAACAGGAGTACTTGTGGCACCTTAGAGACTAACAAATTTATTAGAGCATAAGCTTTCGTGGGCTACAGCCCACTTCTTCAGATGCATATAGAGTGGAACATATATTGAGGAGATATATATACACACATACAGAGAGCATGAACAGGTGGGAGTTGTTTTACCAACTCTGAGAGGCCAATTAAGTAAGAGAAAAAAAACTTTTGAAGTGATAATCAAGATAGTCCAGTACAGACAGATTGATAAGAAGTGTGAGAATACTTACAAGGGGAGATAGATTCAATGTTTGTAATGGCTCAGCCATTTCCAGTCCTTATTCAATCCTAAATTGATTGTATCTAGTTTGCATATCAATTCCAGCTCAGCAGTCTCTCGTTGGAGTCTGTTTTTGAAGCTTTACTGTTGTAAAATAGCCACCCGCAGGTCTGTCATTCAATGACCAGACAGGTTAAACTGTTCTCCCACTGTTTTTTGAGTATTATGATTCCTGATGTCAGATTTGTGTCCATTAATTCTTTTGCGTAGAGACTGTCCGGTTTGGCCAATGTACATGGCAGAGGGGCATTGCTGGCACATGATGACATATATCACATTGGTAGATGTGCAGGTGAACGAGCCCCTGATGGTATGGCTGATGTGATTAGGTCCTATGATGATGTCACTTGAATAGATATGTGGACAGAGTTGGCATCAGGCTTTGTTGCAAGGATAGGTTCCTGGGTCAGTGTTTTTGTTCAGTGATGTGTGGTTGCTGGTGAGTATTTGCTTCAGGTTGGGGGGTTGTCTGTAAGCGAGGACAGGTCTGTCTCCCAACTACTTGTGTTAAACAATTGTATTTAGCTGTGACATGGAATAGTTTTCCCAGACCTGAAAAAGAGCTCTGTGTAGTTTGAAAGCTTTTCTCTTTCATCAACAGAAGTTGGTAAAATAAAAGATCATGCACCTTGTCTTCCTAATATGGTGGGACCAATATGACTACAACAGCACTGCAAACATGAGGATAGGATCAGGATTAGATCATAATAGTGACCACCATGTCATTCCAAAGATGATTTCTGGCTTTATGCATTCAGATGGGCACACCCTGGGGGTTGCTTTTGGATAAGATTTGGTGACTATGGGGGTGAAAATTACAAATGTCATGGTCAGATCATCACCTCCTGTAGTTTGAGGTCAGGGTTCACCTCTGCTCTGACTGAGGCAGAGGTGAATTTGGGAGGCCCTTTTTCTCTCCATGAGCAACTACAACAACTGAAATCAGATTAGGAATCCCAGCTAACAGTTTCCAGATTTAAATGTCAGAGTCTGGTGTGTCGGAATGACTGCTCGGTGAAAAAAATAAAAAGTATTGTGTTTAACTGAATATATGTGCTCAGAGACATTGGTGACTGAGCATAGTTTCTAAATTGAGCAAACATACATTAAATAAATCTCTCTGGGTAGTTTCAAAAAACAAACATCAGAGGGCACCACAGTCTTTCTAAATATGGATATAACCTTGTCTCTCATAACTCCTAACAATCAAACAATAATAATTGGAAATGAGGCAAAGCCACAACACTTTATCCAGGTTCAGGTACAGATTTTGAATAACCTCAAAATTTGGCAGTGTTTGGATTCTGGGTTCCCATTTGAGATATTGCAGAGGTAAACCCTAATCACAAAATTCAGATTGGGGTTTGTTACCGATTTGAATTCTGATTTAAAGTTCAGTGTTGCTCAGATTAGAACATTTGGTTCTGGCTGATTTATATTATTAATAATTAACTGATTAATTAACCTCAACAAGTTAGGGCATACTCCTGACTCCTGTATTTCTTGGCTCAGTAAATTTGTCTCATGTTTTATGTATGTGTGGAATACTACAAAGGACCTATATGTCTGCATAAGATCTCTTGCAATGCTCAGGACATATATCTGTGTGTACAATGTATGTTAGAACATTGTACATTAGACAAAACACTTATGTTAATGAGTTTTTGAACCCATGTACTATTAATTGGGGAAACAAAACTAAAACAGGAAATTGTCACAGCTGGGTTGTGGGCAGCCAGACCTAATAATCAGAGCCAGAGTCCACAGTCATGAGACTGGAGTCAAGATTCAGCTGGGTGGGGATACTGGGAGGTCAGAAGCAGGAGATGATTCAGAGGTCAGAAACCATAATTCCAGCATCAGGAGTCAGGCCAGATCTGAATGCTAGGAGAGCAAGCTGGGGAAGCAGAAATGGTGGAAATGGATGAACAGGGCATTGAGGCTGGCATCACTGGTGGAGCAGAAAGGCTGTGGGGAAGATAAGAGGCTGTATCAGATAAGTAGGGAGGGAAAGAGTTATGTTGGTGTTTGAAGGGAAGGACAAGGGCCAGATCCTCAGTTGTTGTGAATCAGTGTAGCTCCACTAAAGCCAGGGCCATTCACTCCAGTGAAAGAAGGTGAAGTAACCTTACCTCGAATAGCACCCTTATACCCAAATCACCCCGCAAAAGCAGAGGGCAGAATTTCACGGCAATGCAGTGACCCTGACAGACCAAGAGGAATTCAGGACAAATATTCAGCTATGCAGAAATGATACGTTACTACACTAGATATGTACTTTCACATAACCCTATGGACCTGCCTAAAAGAGAGAGAGCATAGAAGGGGCAGAAGGATTACAGTGTCTGTCTATGAAGTGTTATTGCTGTACAAACTATAAATAATATTCATAATTTGCTTATTGTATTAACTACAAATCTTGTATAATATAGTGTTTTGTTGGTTCAGTGAAAAGGTATCACATTTTTTATATGAAAAGAGCAAGCCTCTTTATTTAAAACTTTGCTATGCTTTGTAATTATTCAAAGTATGGGTTGATTTTTTCATGCCTTCTCTCCATACCTCCCTGTCCTTTCTAGTGCTCTTTGCATAAGAGAGGGAATGGCTAACCAATAAAGGACAATTTAGCAATGCATGATGTTATTTCTAAATCCATATGTTATGGATTCACTGGGATATTTGCAGTTCTCATCTAGTTGTCATGAAAATGTTTAGAACACAGATTTGTGAGGAGCAACAGATAGGAAGGAAAAGAGGGGGTGAAAATAACTCTACACAACATAGCATACACTTAAGTCCCCAAGAGGATGTGTGAAAGAATAAACAGCAAGGAGGTAGGTGTGATGTGTGGGGGGGGGGTGGTAGTCACGTTCCTCATGCACTACTGGAATTTGCTCAGATTCTAATCTACAGTAATGAGAGCACTATAAGAATCTGAGGAGAAGAGAGAATAGGAGGCAGAGTACAAAAAGAGAAGCTGAGACTCCAAACTCTCCTGTGGAGTAATGCATTTGCTGTATAGTCAGAGTGATTCCTTTGAGGGGAAAGGTTTTAGCAGCAACCTCACATGTTCTTTGAAGCTTTTTTCAGAAAACACACTGAAGTTTTACACATAGCTGTGTGAATTACATTCTCCATCATCTATAATTTAGTGCTTGCTTCTCCAACATCAAACTCATCCTCGTCGCTCCTCCCCCTAAAATTTGGAAGCACAAGAGTGTCTGAAAGTTCTTCATTCCAGCCTCAAACTGCTGCAGGAGCTCCACGCAGAACTGGCTGCAAAATACCCATCCACCCACCCTCATCACTACAATCCATAAACAAAATCTTTGAAAGGATTTTTTTTTCCAAAACAGATTCTACCATAAAAAAAAAAGAAGCAGAATAGCTTCAGGAGTAACTTTTTTAATGAAATGCATGGATTGTAAAGAAAGTACAGACTGCACTTTAATAATTCTGAGGAAAAATAATGTTCAGATTGGGTAAAATTGATGGATAGGATTCTGTATCACAGTATGTATGTTTGTATTTATAACCTTTTAAAAGTTAAATTGCTTTTTTAATAATAACTTGTTTCTTATTGGTGGTACTGTTGGATTAATCATATTTTCTTCAGTATTGTATGTTTCTAGAATTAGAGCTCTTGCATGAATAGTTTACAAAACTGAAATACATTTGACGAGTGATCCCTTCATTTAGAAAAAATGTTTTACTAGTTTTTACCTCAATGCAAGTGCAGTTTAGAATGTCTTGTAATTTTTAAAGTTATATATTTTGTTTCTAAATTCCAGTGCAGTGCAAACAAACCCTAAACATCTCTAATGTCTATAAATGTATGATTAAAAAGTAAGAGACCTGAGGAAGAGCTCTATGTAGCTTCAAGATGGTCATGACAATGGAGTTTTAAATCCATTACATTAATTTATTAAAGTTCAATTAATTTAACAGTCAATTGGCATTTATTAGGTTACAGGACAATAACTGTCTTATTAAAGCAAAATTAAATGTATTTCTAGGAGACATTAATTTACAATTTGGCTGACATGGAAAGCAGAAGCACTCAAGGGCCTATTCCAATGGCCTGATCCTTATCCCGTTGACATCAATGGCAAAATTCCCATTGACATTATTAGTGAGAGTGTGGTTGTGCCTGTTCCTTCAGTTGGTGTGGGACTCCTAGCTTGATTTCCAGCCCAAAAAAGGTTCAGAGAGGTTTGAATAGGTGTCTGAATTCCTCAATATTATTTGAGCGATTTAACAGTTAATCCAGTTCCATTCTACACCTGTTTTTTTTCTTTGTACCCCCTCAAGCTCAAATTAAACCTCATTGGAAACTGAGATTTTATAAATGTTCTGCAGACTACATCAACTCTGTTGTGTGTTTCATCTTTAAAGTAAACAGGCTATGTGACAGCTAAACTATGGAAATCTACAGAAGATACATGACAAAAATACCAATGAAATCTGACTCCCTTTTTTCTTTTCTTTTCTTTTCTTTTCTTTTCTTTTCGCAATGCTCTTAGTTGCTTCAGAAAAAGTGCTGAGTGCCTCTCTTTGAGGCCCATGGGAGCACAGTGTGCTTAGCTCTGTGCAAGCAAAGGCCTTGCATGATATCGTTCTAGTGGAGGTGGTCATCTTCAGTGGGTGGGTGGCCCCAAGGTTTCCAGCAGGTGAGCAGGGCTATCCCTCCCTGACCCTAACCCAACCCCAAGCATATTCCTAAACTGACAATCAGTATTACTGGCAGTTACAAATTGAGTCATTGGGTTTTCACAGAAAACTTCATTCTGGGCAGCCATTTTACTCAATATTGAATCCCACAGTCCCTGGGTCTACCCTCTATGTAGCAGTACTCAAAACATCATAGATAAATAGCTTTTGCCTTCCTCAGAAGCAAAGAACAATGACTCTGCTCGGTTACCCTGAGTAGAAGCCCTAATGTGGCTCTCAGACCAGGCTCTGCCATGAGACAGCATACTGTACTACCAGTCAGACCACTCATGCAGCCAAATGTAACTGTATTTCTTCTTTCCACAAGGGAGAGTCCTCCATGGCCCTATCAGAGCCTCAAAGATCACTGTCCACACAGTTTAAAAAAAGAGTAATTTCAATGCAAAAGGGAAAAAGGTGGGCTTAGTACTCAGGTCCGCCAGACCTTTGCTCATTGTAGGAGCAGGAAAGGGGCAAAGGTGACTTCCCCCATGCCAGTCCTGTCCAGGGACCATTTTCCCCCTCTCATTTCTAGTAATCTGTAATTATTCCAAATGACCTAATTCCAGTTGTTCTCAATCTTGTAAGATTTAAATCTCTGTATTTTTCGGTTATATATTAAGGCTGTTTATTACAGAAGATAAAATTCCCATTTAAAATAACATCGGCTTTTAGTCCAACCTTTCAAAGCTGTTTGCTGTGACTAGTCAAGTCTAGAACACATAAACTAACAAATTGTATCACAAGCCTGGTACATGCAACCAAATCAAAACAGAAAATCCCTTCTCAGCTACATTATATCTTTGATTTTCTTCACCAATTGTTACATAGGCTCATTTCATTTTCTCGGCTCAGATAAACTTATGAATGCTGATTAATGGACAGACACAGAAGATCTCTATGCAAGCCAATGTGTATTACAACTAAGTAGAATCTGTGGTGCTTATTTTTTGTATCAGCACCCGCTTTCAGACTGCAACACAGCAACAGAATATTTCTAGGAAGGCCAGTCTTTAAATTTTGTTTCTTTGGTGATTCAGAATATTTTTGTTCAGTGGAATTTGAGAACTTAGAATATAACAGAGGTAAGATATGAAATTGTGTAAACAGAACATTAGAACAATTTTACTGCTAAATGCTAGAAGCTACAGACCTCTTCTGTCATCCTGGCAGTACATTACATTCCGGAACATTCAGGAGCAGCTTTGTTTTAAAGTTTTCCTTGATTTTTCAGTGTATTTGCCATTACTAATGTACAGAACTATAAATGTTGCAAAATATAAAGGAGGCATTTCAGTTCCCATTTAATAATAATTGGGAAAATTGATTTAATAACCATGCTACCATTGAGTTGCCACCATAAATATGCAAAGGTTTTTCATCTAAAATCAATATAAGCAAAAAATTTCAGGCAAGCACAATCTTCTAAAATCAAACATTATCCACTTCCAAATGACAAATCATTCACTCACACCACTGTAAATCAGGTGTGAGTTCACTGAAGTCACTGGATTTTCACCAGTGTAAAAATTGGATAAATCAGAGTAGAAT